AGAAATAGGATCCTTTGACACCAGTGTCAAATTTGAAGTTTGACACCTTATATGAGAACCGTTAGATCAAAAAAGATTAATGGTATTCTCAAGGTAGGATCCTACCTTATATATATATATATATATATATATATATATATATATATATATATATATATAGGGGTTTACATTTCTGCAGCTGCTGTGTGTGCAGCAATCAAATATTTGCCATATATATACTTAAAAGCATTAAATGCGGAAAATCATAACCATACAAAGGATGAAAGCATTAAATGTGAAAAATCATGACCATACACCTGTCGTTGTTGTACGTAAAGCGGCTGCAGAAATGATTTTACCTATATATATATATGAGAAAAATATATATATATAAATAAGAAAAATATTTCTCAAGCAGCTTGAGATATATTTATCTCCAGCCAACCCAAAATTACGTCGTTTTGTTTATTTATTTCTTTATATTAATTGATTCACCTTTGAATGATTATGATTCTCATTTTCTCTCTCTTCCTTTATCACCATTGATCCATCTTTGTACGGTTATGATTTAGTAGCCGGAGATAAAGTTATCTCAAGCAGCTTGAGAAATGATAAGCCATATATATATATATATATATATATATATATATATATATATATATATATATAGGGGCAGGATCTTTTTACAGTGATGTAAGACTAACAAGTCTTACACCGCATCTCAACCGTTGATGGATGGAAATCATCGGTTGTCATTTGTAGTGTAATTAATATTAGTTAATTCATATGACTTCCTAAATTATAACTGTTGGATGCACGAAAATCAACGGTTGAGATGCGGTGTAAAACTTATTAGTGTAAGATTGTAAGTAGTGTCATAGAAGTCCCACATTGTGTATATGTCTTTGTATTTCTTATTTGGTTTAATATATAAATGAAATCTCCTTCGTGTAGTTAACACAAAGATTACAATGAATACCTCTTGTATCTTGATAATTAACATAGTATCTAGAGCCTAACAAAAGGAATCCTAATCCACGTTTTTCCGGTGGACAATTGTCCGCTAAGTAAAATATTTTTTTCCGAAAACAGTCATATCTGTCAGTTTTCGGCTTCCATATTGTCTAAGGACCTGTCTGATCACTATCGCTGTCAGGAACCACCGTTGACTGTCGTCCACCACCGTTGACTGCCATCTCTGACGAATTTTCTGGCGAACCACCCACCGTTCTGATCGCCACGACGAGGCGGTCCTCTCTGTCCAGGACCCACCTCCAGATCCTCAGCCACGCGCTCTCACGCGCGTGAGACAGTTGCTGCAGCCTATTTTCTTGCAGCGGCGCGTGCAGCTCCGGCTTGCCGTCGGACCACCACGGTTCACCTCGTCTTCTCCTTGCGCACCTGGATCTGTCCTCACTTTGTGTTTCTTTGCTGGTTACTATTCACGCGTGTTTCTTTGCTTTCCATTACTGTTCATCTTTGTTTCAGGTGACCTATGGCTGATTCGTCACCCCACGATGCATCCAAGGGTTCTTAAAAGAATGACACACCTGTTTTTACTAATTATGTTAATGTTCCGCTGCACGTCGACAAGTTGGATGGCTCCAATTATGATTCTTGGGCTTCTGATCTTCGACTTTGGCTTGAGGGACATGATTATGCTGACCATCTCATTACTAAGGTTGAGTCCATCCCGGTAGATGAACGCCCTCGATGGAAAAAGGTTGATGCTCAGTTATGTAGCATCATCAAGTCTACCATCATACCCGTCATTGAAGCAGATCTTCCATTCGCACGTCACTTATGAGTCTGTTTGGCGTCAGGCCAAGTCACTTTATGCCTTAGGACAGAATGGTGAAAAATTATAAACATGGTGAAATGTTGTTATTCCTATGTTTCAAATGGTCTCTTTTTGGTCATTTTCCTCTTCATGTTCCCCCTCATCTTCTTTTTCTTTATCTCTTTTCCCTTTCCCCATATTTCTCTCTCTAATTTTTTTCCTACACCCGTTTTATTTTTACTTATATATATATATATATAAATATATATTTATCTTTTTTCAATCGCTTCGTATCTTTTATTTGGGTTCATCTCCCACAAACCTCAATTAGTTTAGGATAAATGTGTTATTGATGTTGATAATTACATTGGTAAAGTGATTTAGTATGTATCTAACAGAGAGGCAGAGGCAGATAGATAGTTTAATTTAAAAATATTTTAGAATAATATTCTTTTTTTGTAAAAAAAAAAATTGTCACAATTAAAAAAAAAAATGAGTACGTTCCATAAATTTTTTCTAGAAATTTCTCCTAGCATCCATTCATATTTATTTACGTATGATAGCAAAAAAATTTGTACAACAAATTCAGAAATATTTTTCGAAAATATTTTCAGTGTTATGTAATTCTGATGATTAACTGCATTTTTAATTAACTTATTTTTACTTTTAGTAAAGTAGTTGGTTGGCATTGTTTATAGAGATTTGCATAGGTTGAATTAAATTAATTTTTTTGAAAAATCGAACCGAATTGGTTTAAATGGTTTGGTTCGAAAATGGTTCAGTTCGATTCAAAATCAATTTGGTTTTCGGTTCGTAAACGGTTTGGTTCTTGAACTGCTTTTTAAAATTGGTTCGGTTCATGTATTAGTTCTTAAAAAATCGGTTCAGTTCTTGAACTTATTCTTTAAAAATTGATTATTTTGAATACAGTTCGAGTTAGTTCATGATTCGATTTTTTAGTTATTTTGTAGATCCGTAATTGTTTATAATTAGTTGAATTTTGAATATAAAAGAACCAGACCCCGCTTTATAAATGGACAAGCAAAATGACAACTCAGGCCCGACCTTTCTTGGAACTATCTTTCAAAAATCTTAGTACGACGCTTGAGGTTAAGCAGACGGCATACTTTAGTAAAAGGCGAATGCATAGATCCTTATGCGGACGCTTTTAGATCTCACTAGTATTTTTATTTTATGCTCACAGCACTTTGTTTCTGCTCAGAACTACACTCAACAGTCTCCTCCATTTGTCTCGGTCCTTGCTCGCTCAAGCGTCAAGACATGGTTGGTATTTAATCTCACTTTCGTATCCTTTTGGACCCCCACATTTTGAAATGTTAATAGAGCAAAAGTCAAGTTATAGTGGAGCATGAAACTTTGGTTATGACCAATTGTGGAGTCACGAAATTTTGTAAAGGAAATGAGATTGTGTATAATATTCCTTATAAATTATAATTATATATGTGAACTGTTTGTGCTTGGTAGAGCCGACGATGTATGTTATGTTAATTTAAGGGTGTTTGTAGTGGCAATGGTAAATACTAATATTCTATTAAAGTTTCTCATGTGTTGTATATCAAAGGGAGAGTATGTGTAAATGACTACGGTTGTTTCATATTTGTGCAGAATAACAACTCATAAATTGGATAAAAGAGAAGATACCCCCTCCGCATGAGAGGAGGGTATTTAAAGAGGAAATATCTCTCTCAAGTCTAGGAAGAGGGATGTGTAGCTATACTACCTAGTCAACCTCATCTCTTAGACCTGGCATGTTGCACCCATTGTTAGTGTACAATGGGCAACAGTGTTGGGTAAAGGGGAATCCATATTAATGAGTCTTTATGGCTCATCATGAATACCCTGTAAAAGGTTCTAAGTGTGTGTTTTTAAGACTAGACCCAATTGATTGGGCTATAAAGTGGGTCGACCAGAACACTGTAATCAAAAGAATATAAATGATGTTAGAACTAAGGGGTCGTTTGGTAGATAGATAAATTTTGTGGTACAAGAATTTTTAAAATTTTCCTGAGAAAATGAGATTCTTGTGGATTAAAGTTATGAATAAGAATCTCATAAAATAATGAAAAAAATATTTGTCATTTTAAATGACATAAAGTTATGTCATTTTAAAGGAGAGATAGACACAAAATAATATTTTTTTATTTAAAATTTAAATTAAAAAAATCACTCACTTTCTCCCCCGTGATTTTCATTTCTTGTGTCTATCTCTCTCCTACATAACTTATGTCATTTAAATTGACAAACATCAAACCCTAAAATAATACTACAAAGTGGGTGATATTCTTAGATTCCCACGAGAAAATTTTACATACTTTATAGGACATAAATAACCTTACTTTAATATCCAAATTTATATAAATAACCTTGTTTTAATATTTTCAAAAATTCATCAAATATTAGTTTTGTAAAATCAACTCACATTCACATAAATCATTGACAATCAACCAAATATAGAATCAAGAAACTTAAGTAACATTCATGAGAATATTTATGCCTACCAAACAATTTTTTTGATAACATTTCTGAAAAACTCACTTTCCTAACATATTCCCATAAATCGTAATTCTCGAAAACAAAAAAATTTCTCCTCTTCCAAACTCCGCCTAAAAATTTCTAAAAATGTGAAATGGAAAATCACTATTTATATAACAAAAAGGAAAAAATATTTGTCATTTTAAATAATACAATTTTATATCAATTTTAATGAAATTACATCGTTTTGATATGTTTTTATATTTTCTCTCCTCTATTTTTTTTTCTTATTTTGATACAAATGAAAAAAATGACAAAATACACCAAAATTACATAATTTTATTAAAAATGATACAAAATTATGTATTTTAAAATGACAATCATTTTTTCTAAAAAAAAAATACAATAATATTCATAACTAAGAATTAGTTCAAATAATACATATTTAATTCTGCTTAATGAAAGTTATGAAAAATATTTGTAATTTATCCAAATAAAATAAAATAAAATAAACTTACCCTCCGCATCACTCCATTGATTTATGATGAAGTCTCATCTCATTATGCTTTTCCCCACGAATTAATCTATGCTTCATACTTTGCCATCAAAAGGTCCAAACGTCGCATTGGATTCTTCTTGAAGCAACAGCAGCATATTCCACGAACAATACCTCCACAAAGACAATATCGCTCTTTCAACTTGCTTCTTACAAAATAAAATTTATCCCAATACTATTCATTCGAGAACCTTCTTGTGAATTCCATCCCTCTGACCTTTTATTAGTAATACACAAACTAGAGTTGTGTTTTTTGGTCTCACAAATTTACAACTACGCAAATGAAAAAAAAAAAAAAGTGAAAATAAGAATTAGTGGCAAACTTCAAAAACATATCTCATTAATAAAAAGGTAAAGTATAATACCAAACCAAAGACACATCCAAAAAAAACAAAAAGGAAAAAATAAGATATTCCTTTTTTTCCCCTTTTTTATTTTATTGGCTTGATATCACATCACTCTCTAGAAATCATCTCCACCGTAACCTCCGTCATCGTAACCTCCGTCATCGTAACGAAGATCATCCTCAACCTTCTCTGCAGCATCATCAGCAATCTTGTTTTCAACATACTCAGCACCCTCAACAAGTGCGATTCCACCTAGAACCCCAGCAACCGCACCCACAGCCAATCCTGTCCCCATCCCACCAAACTTGCTCTTCTTCTTCTCCTCCACCGGCGCGTACCCATAACTCCCTTGACCATACGACGCCGTTTGCTGCGGCGCATTATACCCTCCGTAACCCGAACCATACGCCGGAGCCGCCGTAGAAGGATACCCCGCCGGCGGCGCCGCGCCGTAACCATACGAACTCTGCGGCGGAGCCGCACCGTAACCGTAACCATACGCCGGCGGTGCAGAACCAAAGTCCCGCGATGACGCCGCCGGTGGTGGAGGGACACCGTAAGGAGGAGCGTAGTAACCACCACCACCCTGCGCACGATAGCCAGGGTCTCTGATTGTAACCTTAACGTCAACCTTACCATGCGGCCTTCCAGAAGGTCGTTTTAGCGTGAGCGTGCGGCTCGCACGCTCGCCAAATCCGACGTCGTCTAGAACTTCGACGAGCCTGAGCCGAGCCGAACCGATGAGCGGTTTAGTGTCTTTTTCTGAACCGGCGTGAACCACGTCGATGTAGAGAGTCATGTCTTCTAAGGGTTTTGGCGGTAACGGAATAACGAGGGTTTGGTCCCAATTAGCTTCGGTGTCGCCGTTTTCGTCGACCCTGGTGGAGAGCTTGTTGCTGGGGTCCACCCAAACGACGACGTATGGCCTGTTCGCGCCGTTGCGCCAGTTCACGTTCTTGAGCCCACGCGCCGATGTGAGCTTCACTTCCACTTCGTAGCGAGAACCCATTGTTTCTATTTCGGTTGGAGAATACCCAGAGAATTTTGGGACACAAACCCTTCTCTGGCAGTTTTTGATTTTATAGGTGAAGTTAGTCGACGAATCGTTTCTTTGCCCTTGCTTTTGTGGGATAATAACGAAGTTGCCATGGACAGTTCCCAACGCGGTCGAGGCACTCTTTTAATGGATTAATGATTCAATTGGTAAAGTTTTATATATATTAAAATATGGGGATATTATATTTATAATTTATTTATTTTTTAGAACATTTTTTTATCATTAGATTAAAATTAAATTAATAATCATAAAATAATATAAGTAATAGAAATTTATTTGATTTTGATTTGGATTTTTATACGGTTACGTATTTTTCGAATAAAAATTTATTTTAATAAAAAAATAATTATAAAAGATGGTAAGTAAAAATAAGTTATAAATATAATCTATCTTTATTATATAATAAATATATTAAAAGATATATTTTGTCTAACAATTAATTGTAAACTAGTTTGTTTATACAAAAAAATTGTAAACTAGTGATGAGTGTTGCAACTTCCATTATCTTGTACACGGATTTGAATCTTATGATCTACGAAATTAAATCATTTTATATAAATTTTCAGAAGCTGGATCAGTGCAAAAGTCAGTACCCGTTTGATTTTAGGGAAAAAAGTATCTAATGTTACTTTAGATAACTTTGTCTAATGTTCATTGAAACGACGTCGTTTTGGAGTTGAAAAATAAAAAAATTAGAATGATAAAGACTATTATAACCCTGAAATAAATTAAAATTACAAAAACACCTTGATTTCCGTTCCAAAATGACGTCGTTTCGATGAACATTAGATAAAGTTATCTAAAGTAACTTTAGAAAAAACAAACCCTTCATTTTAATAACAATGATTTTGCCAAATGGTAAAGGTTGAAGGATTCCGGCAAGTTAGGCATAACATGGGGACAAACAGTATCTTAGGTAGGGTAAAAAAACAAAGAAACCGATTGCTTAGCAATTAAGTATATAAATTTTTTGTACTAACAAAAAAGTATATAAATTTTGAGATTGGTGTTTATTTTTTAAAAAATGTGGGAGAAAGTGAAATTTTTTTAATTTAAATTTTAAATAAAAAATATTAATATTAATATTAATTAAAATGATCGTCTTTAAAAAAATAACTATTTTTTCCATAAATTTTTATTTGTATACTTTATATAAAACTTATTTCAGTTAACGCAAGTGGGTCAAGCAGTTATGAAGAGTTTTTATTTATCTGTGTATTTTGTATTATACTTATACATAAGATTTAAAATAATAAAACATACTTTGTTACAAGTTAGGGCGACCTCTTAATAATAGCGAATAGTATTTAAACTAAAATTTCAATGACGATTTCCCCGATTGATATTTTATTATTTTTAAATCTTAGTTAGGAAGTCATATTAGTCTATGATTAATTATTTTTAAAATATAGTTAGGCTATTGCGATGCACGGACATGTAATTTTATTTAAAAAATGCATGTCGGATACGTGTCGACACACGATCAATATTTCAAGACACGTGGTCAATACTTCGACACGTTTTTTGACACGCAGTCAATTTTTTTTGACACGCGGTCAACTCTTTGACACACATCCGACACGTTTTTTTTTTAGAACTAAATTTTATTTTATTAACTAAACATGAAAAATAATTTATAAATCTATTTTTTTCTGTTACGAAATTTGACATGAAAAAACATGGTGCGAAAAATTATTTTTTGCTTATATTTATGTTATAAATTTTAAATATTTGATTGGTTATATGATTTATTATGGGTTGTTATATGTACTATATAAATTATATTATATATATTAAAAATATTATTTAATATCAAAACATGTCCTAATGTGTCGGAATATAATATTTTTTATAATTAACGTGTCGGCGTATCGTGTCGTGTCCCGTATCAGTATCGATGCAACATAGGCTGTAACTTTTCAATTGAGTTTGGTAAAAATATTTTTGTTGAATACAGTTCAGCAATCACTACAGCCCAAGGTGACATCCCAAACTGATATTTGCAATACTCGCACGAGAGAATGTACCAAACTTTTTTGGAGAATATTTACTTATGTTGTTGGATGCAACTTCTCTCCTCTTACAGTTACACAGAAATTTGTGCAGTATTTTTTAAAAAAAAAAATTCCCATGGGCCCCACAATTTCTCTGTGCGCAAGAAAATTGAAGTGTTTCCAGTAACAGGAGACACTTAATGCCCTACTTTTTTAGGGGCGTTTAGTAGAGGAATTTTTTTATAGATTTTCGAAAAAATGATTTGAAAATTTTATTTATCCAGGTTTTGTATAAGAATTAGAAAAAATTTCTCAGAAAATCAGATTGCTAGGAATTTTTTTGTGAATAAGAATGCCATTCAAGAATAACATTGTTGGATTCCTGAAAGATGGGAAAATTCCCTCTTATTTTTTGGAGAAAAATACCCAGTGTTGAACGAGGTATTAGGACAAAGGATTATTAATGTTGATGAGCCAATCATTGATTGCATCGTTAACGTCCTCGCAGATGATGACTTCGATTTCAGACTCGATAGCGAAGGCGCTTTCAAAGCCCTTAGAGACCTCCTCGTCGCTGCCAGCTGTGTCGACGATTCCTGCCACTATCGCATTCTAAGTTCCAAATACTTGTGTGAGGCACTTGTGAGTAGATTCATCGTTTAGAGGGTGAAGTTCTCTGGTTATTGAGGCAGAGAGAATCTTTTGTAAATTCCATTATTAATAGTGGATGATTTTCTGGACTTGGTCCCGTGGTTTTTACTCTTCACGTCAAGAGATTTTCTACGTTAAAATTCTTGGTGTTCTCTTCCTCCCTGTCTCTATTTTTGATTTTTTGTTATTGTCCACTATCGCTTCCGCAGGCCGACCTGAAGAAGGCCGAACTAATTGAATTTGAGGTCGGGCTTAGAATGGTCGGGCTCTGAGACACAACAGTGGTATCAGGGCTATAGGATCAAGGGCTCTGTGAGGTCAGAGTTGTAGGGTGTCGTAACACATTATGGTGACATGTTCAAACTCACCACGAAGAACTACTTATATTGGAAACCCATGATGGAGGATCATCTTTATTGCAAGGATTTATATGAGCTCATTCTGAGCACGGTCAAGCTAAAAGGAAAGAGCGATAAAGAGTAGGATCTCCTCAATTGGAAGACGGTCGCTATGATCCGCAAATACATCGACAAAAGCTTGTTCGAGCATGTGTCAACATACACAAATGCTCACGAGCTGTGGACGAAGCCGGAGTCCTTAATCCAGAAGAAGACGCCACGCAACAACACATACTTGGTTCGCCAACTTGTGAAGCTAGACTACAAGAACGAAAAAAGCATGATTGAGCACCTAAATACATACAAAGGAATCGCCAATCAGCTGATAAAGATTGACATAAAGATAGATGATAGTTGCAAGCCCTCTTACTACTCAGCTCGTTGCCTGAGAGCTGTGATACGAAAGATCAGCTACTCCAAGCATTCAAGGAGTTTCACGCAAGGGTAGAAAGAGAGACCGGCAGAAAGCTGAAGGTCGTCCGAGCTGACAACGGTGGAGAATATCGAGGTCCATTTTAGATGTACTGCAAGGTAGCAGGTATAAAGCTGGAGAATACACCTCCAGAGACACCTCAACTAAATGGTGTTGCTCAAAGGATGAACCGAATCAATGAAAAATGAGTCTGAAGTATGTTGTCACATGCCAAGCTTCCCAAGAAGTTCTGGGGAGAAGCCGTCAAGACTGATGTCGACCTGATCAGTCTATCACCCTCAAGTCCTTTGGAAAGATACATCCCAGAAGAAGTCTGGACGGGTAGGAAGGCAAAGTACGAGCATCTGAAGGTATTCGGATGCCGATCATTATTTGTGCATATTTCCAATGATGAACGAACAAAGCTTGATGTCAAGACCAACGAGTATGTTTATCTCGGCACACCAAATGACGAGTTTGGTTATCGTCTTTGGGATCCCGTCAATAGGAAGGTTGTGAAGAGCCGAGATGTAGTGTTCATGGAGAGTCAGGCTATTGAGGACATACGGAAGCCCAAGGTCTGAATTGTTGTTCGTCAAGAACACCCCGTCTATCCTATTCGAGATGAAGCAGGGGGAGAATTCAATCAACAAAACACTTAAGAAGGTGGACAACAACAAGAACCACTAACTGAAAGTGAGGAAGTACTACAACATCTGGAATTCTGGGACGAAACAGAATCGGGTTACGAGGAGCAACCACAAACTTGAAAATCTAGCCGATTTAGACCTCCTTCCACCAGATATTATGCAAAAGAGTATACAATTGTTGCAGAAAAAGGAGAACCTTAGAGTTATGAAGAGGCAGTAACCGGTGTTGAAAAGAAAGAGTGGGAGAAAGCCATGCAAGAAGAGATAAAATCCTTGTATGAGAATCACACATTTGATCTGGTCGAGCTACCAGAAGGTAAACGGGCTTTGAAAAATAAATGGGTATACAAACTCAAGGTGGAGGAGAACAACCCGAAGCCAAGGTATAAAGCACAGATAATAGTAAAAGGGTTCAATCATACGAAAGGCGTAGACTTTGAGGAGATATTCTCACCAGTGGTGAAGATGACGTCAATCTAAACCGTTCTAGGCATGATGGCCACTTAAGACTTAGAGGTCGAACAATTTGATGTGAAAATGACTTTTCTTCATAGAGACTTAGAAGAAGAAATATACATGAAGAAACTCAAAGGTTTTAAATTTTCGCGTAAAGAACATCTGTACGGCCTAAAGCAAACACCTCGGCAGTGGTACAGAAAGTTCGAGTCTTTCATGACTCAACACAACTTCAAGAAAACTCAAGCAGATCATTGTATTTCTATCGAAAGGTATGATACTGACTTCATCATCCTCTTGCTCTGCGTAGATGACGTGCTAATAGTGGGGAAAGACACGAGGAAGATTAATACCCTCAAGAAAGCCTTGAGAAAGTCATTCGCTATAAAGGATCTCGGCCCAGCAAGACAGATTATCGGGAT